TTTCACAGATGTTCCACAACATAAGATAAGTATAAGTAAGTATAAACTGCTAAATGTATGATGCATCATCAGCTAATAAAAATTGTTAGCGTTGAAAATGTACTGTGATGTCAGAAGTATAGAACAAATTCTGGATGTGGTGTTGGAAAGTAACAACCTTTGGGGTGGTATGTGCATCACACTACCCTGCCATTGCTCATCCTTGTGAATCCTTGTTTCATTATGCAGTCTAGTCACCTAATGACCCATTTCAGTAGCACTACTAAGTGTACAAAAGAACATGTAATTAGACACACCTCTTAATATTTGGAGAGGTGTCTATAAATTATTTTGGTGTCATTAAAAATGACAAAATGCAATGTATTTGGGCCTGTGTAAGTGGATTCTGAGACCAGGTGACAATTATCCAAGCAAGCGCGCACACTCAAGCAAGCGAGGCCAATCCAGTGTTTATGTCTCATTACATACCTTTAGGAAAATGAAAACTGTTTGCATGTTGCTTTAGAAAAGCTGTACATTGTGTTTTATTGCACTCCTGCAGCTCATTGATCAGGAGATCAACCCTTTTGTGGACAAATGGGAGGAGGAGGGTCAATTCCCTGCACACAGAGTCTTCAAGATCCTCGGGACCGCTGGATTTCTGGGAGTCAACAAACCCGTGGGTGAGCTGACTATACTTGTGAAATTAAAGTGACTAGAGGCTACAGAGTAATTTAACTCTTTTTTTCACGTTTCTGTAAGAGAATGGAGTTGAGCATGTGGAAAATTTGATGTATGAGAAGACAGAGTTTGATAATGACAATATTAATGAAGGTTGAGTTATTCTGAATAGACACATTAAAATAATAGATAGCAGAGCGCTTCTTTAATGTATTTCGGAGGAAAACTCCTAAACCTATTGTAAGCACCAAGATTGTGCTTAAAGATCTTGAATATTAATAAATGTATCCTCAGTGACTAGACTTTAATTTGTCTGCCGTGCCAGTTAAATAGCTAGTCATTATCAAAGTAATATTTCAATAAGGTAAATGATTAAATGTGTATTAAGTGGTATTTCTTATTAAAGAGGAAATGTAACATTGCGGTCCATGAATCTTTGCATAGAGATTAAAAAAAAGTGAAGGGGAGAACTTTAAAAAAAAAAACATTAACTTGTGAATTTTTTTTTCAGTGCTCCTCATTCTGTGTTCCTCAAAGAATCATGGGTGTTATAATGTTTTTTCTTGTTTCAAAGATGTGGGATTGGCACGAGCACAGTGTTTAGGGCAATGAGGAATTTAGTTTATAAACCAGTGGGTCAGGAGACAGAGGCTCTTGCATTATGAAATGCTGACACTGGGAATGTTTTGCATTAGCAGGCAGGATTAAACAAGAGCCTCCGAAGCCTAACCTGTACATAAGATTACCATCTGGGAACTCAACTCACCTCATCAGCTATACACAGCCTTTGTTACTTGTGAGACATTTATTGTGTATGATGATACTTTAGCTGAAATGCTAAAGTGATTCGTGTTAGTTTTATGAGCAAAAACTGAAAGGATTAGGTTTTCATGTGAGACAAAATAAACATTTGTATTCTCATTGTCCCTAAGAATCGTATTTTGTTAGAAATACAGTAAAAATGAACTGAGAGCTCAGAATATTTGTTTAGGTTTAAGACCTTTACTCCTGTTTAAGACTTCTGATTTTCTTGCCTCAAGTTCTACAGTTTCAGTTTTCAGTTAAATTTTTCAAAACATGAAAATCAGATTTCTCATTACTATTTGGTAACAATAGTACCTTAAAAAAAAACATTATACCACAGCGCTGTTGAATTCTCAGGTCTGATTGGTCAGAAGGTGTTGATTGATTTTCTATAACAGCAGTTTTCCATCACAGGAAAGACATCATGACAGAGGACTTTGCACTTTCCAGGTTCTCTTTGACATGGAAAGCTGTGGGTTTTTTTCTTTCTTGACTCATGATTTTTTTTTTTTTTTTTTTTGTTAGTAATGTCAAGACAGAGA